ATATATATATATATATATATATATATATATATATATATATATAAGGCCCATTTTTATGTTATAGTCTGAACAGTTTACCTTAAATGTTGCAGAAATGAATGTTGACATGTTTTATGTCAGGTAATGACTTGGAATAAAGTTGACTAAGGAGTTGAAACACAGAGGTGGGTGATAATTTATACTGTATGCTTTATAAACAGTCAAACCTGACGGGGTCATTTTTGACCCCAGAGGGGGTCAAGATTAGGGGTCAGATTATGTGCTGCCATTAGAAAAATTCAAATGATTCAAGAACAGCATCCTCACTAAACTTTGATATGTACCTCTCTGTGATCAGTCAAATAGTAAAAAATAATATAAAGTCAAAATAATTCATTGTTTTGTTGTATTTTCACTCAAAAACAGGGTATACTGGCCCTAAATTCCAAAATGAAGGGAACGATTTGTGGTAATGTGTTGGACTGAAGTAAGACTAAAGGTGTAAAACAGAATTGATTGACAATTTATACTGTATGCTTTAAAAACAGTCAAACCAGGTGGGGTCATTTTTGACCCCAGAGGACAACAGGTGTATGGCAGTCGGGAGGACAACACAAAAGATGACTCAACTGATTTAGCATCACTCTCCTATTGTCGGACTCACGATGAACAATTAGAAAAAGGATCGAAACAGAAGGAGCGTTTTTCTTCCCTGTCAAAATCTGGCACCTACATTACCCACAATGCAACCCGAGGTCTGGTAAATCCAACAAGTTTAGTGACATCAGTCAAGTAGCTCCCACTGGAGACACAAAAAGCTTTAAATGTAAGTTAAACACTTTGATGTGTAATAAATGAGTTTTCCTTTTAGGCTTTTCTAAGAGGGGACATTTTGAAATAGCACTTTTCTGCTGCAATAAGCCTTTAGCTAAAGTCTTGATTTGTTAAATAAATATATATGTGTGTGTGTGTGTGTGTGTGTGTGTGTGTGTGTGTGTGTGTGTGTGTGTGTGTTGTATTCCTGCCATTGTATTGATTGGCTTTGCAATTTGTGAAGCTCTGATTGCAACAAGAACAAAATAAAAAGAATAGCCTTTAGAGTTCAGTTAAACACTGTTTGAATCTAACGAGTGACGTGAAGCTGTGTGATTGAAAAGCAGTTGTTAGTGTCATCATTACTGACCCCGTGGTTCAGAGGACCAGCTGAGACCACCTGATCACATGAGATCGACTTCTTGGAGCCGTGCCCGAGCGCCATCGCCTCCTCACCACGCGTCCTTTGCTCCTTGACAAATCATCTCACCGTCCGTCGAGGGCTCGTTGATTGAACTTCCGACTCGGCAGCTTTTTTATTTAGCATCTCTGCTCAGCACGAAAAAAAAAACAGACATGTTGCTCCAGCAGACGGAGAACAGCTCCGTCTCTGTTTGTAAGTCCAAAGGTAAAACAAGAAAAAAATCAATATCTCCTAAAGCTTGTTGGGTTTCAGTGGAATAAAACTCAAGGTACGTCCACGAACTGCTGGCTTGAGCTGATCTCACATGTTGTTGAGCTCTTTCTCATCTCAAAGGAGCAGCCAGGTGAGAACAGGTACGCTGATGTCACTGAGCATCGCCTAGCGACGGCGATGCTGCCCTGCACACGTGGGAATGAGGCCGCGTACGTCGGCTCAACGCGCTTTCCCAGAGTTCATTTCACTTTCCATGCAAACAAGAAATCCCACATGGGCAGTGAAGCGAGGTCGAGATGTGAAAGGATTAACAGATTTCTTCTTTCTGAAGATAAATTCCCTGTGAAATGTCAAATTCTGAATGTTTTGTTGGGATCAAGCCAACAACTCAACAATACGTTAACAAAATGTACCCAAATACTCATTTATTTTATCAGGAATTTTTATTTATTTTATTTTAACTTTTATTTATTTTTTTATATATATTTGAGTCATTACACACAGCGTGCAAAAACAAAACAACAACAAAACAAATGAACGGCAACACTTTTTATTTGTTCATTCATGACAACTTGTCCCTTTGATGATATATTTCAGGAACAGTCACAAAGCAGTAACATGGTTAGAAAAGTCCCGACATAGATTCTTTAAAAGTCAACGACTTATTCACCTTCTACGTCTTTTAATATAGCCATAATAGCATATACATACATATTTATTTGCCAGTAAAGTTATCATTTTGAGGTTTTGCCCACTAGTGGCGCTAGAGAGCAATGTTTTGATGAGTCACAGTATTGTTTAAAATGTGACAAACACTGATGTTTAACACAGAAGAGACCAGCAATGCAACATTTAAAGAGTTAGAGTGAAGGTTCGGACCACTGTAGGTTCAAATATATCAGAAATGTATAAATGTATAAGAGAATTTACGAGATTAAAGTCTTACAAACCTCAGAAATTTCTGAGAAATACTCTCTGAGATTATAAAATCAGCAATTTCGTTCCTAATTTTAGGATTTTGTCGAGGCACCACATCAGGAGGATCGACCTCATCACAACAAAGACGCCGAATGTGCAAAACCTGAATGTCTTTGCTCCTAATGTGTTATTATGAGCACGACCTCTGAGTGAAGCCGGTCCTGAAAGACACTTAACACATGTTTTCTTTCACGTTCTTTCTGCCTTCTTTTACGAACATAAATAAATACTCGTACAATTAATACACTGCCGAGTCTAACGGTGGATCTGTGATGTGAAGCTCTGAGGTTTTCACAAAAAATTAAACTGATCTCAGCAGATTTATGACTTTATTTCTCGTAACTTTGTGAGTTTATTCTCGTAAATTCCCCACTTTATTCTCAGAGAATATCCAAGTTCTTTACCCCCCACCTGCCGAGTCAGCAATTATTTTACTTTACCCACGATGTCCCTAATACTCCGGCCGAAGCTGCTCTTTTGAATAAAGAAATAAAGAAAGGTAGAATTAAACATAATCTGCATGTATCCACCCTCATGAAGTATGTCTCTCAAGCTGTTGTACTAAACAGGCTGATCATAAACACAGGTAGATGTTTCATTTAT